TCTGAAGAAGCAGTGCAGAGCCTTCTAAGCCCTGTACTGCACAAGCCTAAACATTGTGTGCATCCTTCCTTACACACGCGCTGCATGGAAAGGGCAGCAAGACTTCATTCTCATCGTTGAGGCCCGTACGCTGACAACCTTACAAAGAACCCTTGCTCTGGTTGTTTAGAACCCAAACTACAGCCCTAGCAATCGTGTACTGGGCTGTCTGACTTGCCGCTGCAGGTGCCCCCAAAGACGTACAGCCGGGTCCCGTGGAGGTTGGCTGAGTGGCCTGAGAGATCCAAGGACTGCGTAAAAAAATCGGGTCTAGAGTTTAATGGGGAACGCGTGGGGAGTATGAGGAAAGGGCTAGCCCCTCCAGGAGTACTTTGCGGCCGCAGTTTCAACTTTGTAGTTGCTGCTTCAGTTCAAAGGAGGGCAAACTGAGATAGATGTCTTGCAAACTGTCCTAGGCTCCGGGAATCAAGCCTTGTTACTTGCCAAAGCGGCGCCCGGCAGAAACACCAATAGCACACAAAGTTCTTGTGTATACCTGCAAACTCGAGATACCCTCACCTTTGCTATTCTTTTAAGGGCGCAAGCCATCATCAGAAGTTTTTTGTGCATGTTTGTTTCGACCAGTTGCCGGATTGTACTACTGTCATCGTGACGAGTGAGTACAGTGATGAGTACTACTGGGAGTTCGATAGTTAACATCATGACAACTTGCCATCATTACACATGTGACTGTTATGAAACCACTGCAACCTCTACTACCCGATAACACTTTTGTACTATTTACATTATTACAGCGATCTGTGTGGCAACTTTCTGAGGTTGAAACCATGGGCCTTGATCCAGGATCCTCATCTACCTATTATATACCCTATATGTACGTACCCTTAAGGGTCCCTAGAATCCACCTAAATGGCCGGAGGGCCCATATTAAGGGCCCATACTTCCTTGCTCAAACGTGCTTACGCCGGAGCTTTTTCAGTGCTCAAATCTACCCAACGACTCCTACAGTAACCCTGAGCCCTTTTTCTCTAGCCCCTAAGTCCTAACCTTGCCTTACCTTACCCCCCTAACCCCTATATAACCCCAATATATTATAGTAGCTTCCATTTTCTTTTGCATTATCCCAATATATCCCCCGATATACTATACCCCAATATAACCCCAATATACTATACCCCAATATAACCCCTCTATACTATGCCCCAATATATACCCCAATATACTATACCCCAATACATACCCCAATATACTATGCCCCGATATAACCCCAATATACTATACCCCAAAATCTACCCCAATATACTAAACCCCAATATATACCCCAATATACTATACCTCAATATAACCCCTATAACCCCCATATATACCCTAAACCCTAAACCCTAAATAGTAGTTTCCATTTTCTTTTCCATTATCCCTATAGACCCCTATATAATCCCTATATAAACCCTATAAAAGGGCCTTACCAAGGCCCAGGCCATGGCGGGCTGAAGGAGCTCCGCCTGAGCTAGGCCCCTGGAACCTCAGACGTGCATAGATGAGTTTTATATATATATATATAGGGTTTAGGGTTTAGGGTTTAGGGGGGATAGGAAAATGGAAGCTACTATAATATATTGGGATTCTATAGCGGTTATATTGGGGTATAATATATTGGGGATAGGGATAATGGAAAAGAACATGGAAACTACAGGCATTATAGGGGTTCTAAAGGGATTATAGGGTATATATTGGGGTTATATATTGGAGAGTGACCCCAATAATGGAGAATCAAATGGAAAAGAAAATGGAAAATGAAATGGAACCTGGGATTATAGGGGTTATTTTGAGTTTTTTTGGTCAGGCATTGATGACTTGTGTGTTGGGATCATATGGGCGTACAGAAGGAAGAAGGCACACAAAGGGTTCAGGGTCTGGGGGCTTTTCTCAAAACTGAAGATGCAAATCTGAGGAGGACTGTGCTAGCTTGGGGATATGCGAGACAAATTTCCAAATTGCAAATTCCTAGTCTCGTTTCTTTGCTTTGAGGCCCAAGTAAAAAGTTCGATGAATGTTTGGGACTAGTGTTCAAATTCCAAGGTGCGCGGTCAGATCTCTTGGCCACACTCTTTGAGCAGGTCTCGGCGGGAACTCTATGCCATGGGGGGAATGCGGTAGAACGCTGGAATTTCTACACTGCATTTTGCGCTTGTTGTATACTGTTTGTGGTTTTGGCTTGCTCGTAGGATCTAGTTGCAGCGCGCGCAAGACCTGACGAGGTCACTGGTTACTATCTAGTACGGCAACCCCCTGATGCTGGCCATGATTTTCCCTGGGCTTGACCCCGAACAGCAACTGTTTGTGCCAGAGGCGAAGCTGTCAATGTGGTGTAGGAGATTGCCATTCAGGGTGCAAAAGCTTCAGAGCTTCAGCCGGCGCAACAAATCTTGTGCCAAGCAGAGCCATCCTGAATCCCAGGAACCTCATGAAACATTGCCTCCACGATTTATGTTGATAGCTACCGGCTACCGCCATTCATGTACTATGAGCTCCATCTTCAGCAGCTCAGTAACCCCATTCATCCTAGGCTCTGAGACCAACAGCACCAGTTTTCACAAAGTAGCTCGTAAACGGCATTGTGAAAGGTATCATCCAAACTTCCGTCCTACACAAACTGCCTAGACTTGAAAGCTCTACACCTGCAACCCGACAACCTCACACCTGAACAGAAGCCTTCGATTCTCCAAGCCCTACAGCCTAGACCCAAAACCCTACTCAGACTTGAATTCTGAGCGTCCTTCCTGCCATTTTGTGCCATTCAAACCTAGACCTCAAACCCTACACAGAAGCCTTGACTTCTAAGCCCCCTTTCATGCCCTTTCTCTTTCTCACTCAGCTCGCTGCCAGGTATAGTTACTGGTGTCCAAAGCATGCAGGTCCCGGAAGCAGGAGTCCTGCAAAAATACGTCCTTTTCATCTATCGACCATCTTGGCGATAACCGAAAGTGGATGCTAACCTGATTGTACAGTTTGCTTCCTCTTCATGCGCTTTTCAACTACTAGTTCTTTACCATTACCATGCCACTGGCAGAATGCTTGGTGCCGCAGAGCCAAAGCCCTGAGTCCTTCCCCTTGCCACCGAAGTAGACCTCGGCGATGCTTCAGGGTCTGCGGGATCTGGTGAGTTCAACTCGGAATTATGCTCTTTGCTTAGGTACCCTAAATATGACGGGCCGTGTAGCACAGGAAACCTGACAAGGGACCATGATTTTGACAACCCCGCCCAGGACTTTTGAGGCATTTCTGGGATAGTATCAATGGGGATGCAAATGCCTTGGGGCATATTCAGACTATTAGGTGTTTCAATCTTTGCTTTTGCCTGGAGTACCTGCCACAGACGACGGCTTAGCAATGAGGTGCTCAAGTCCAGGTCTCATCTCCCAAGCGTTTCGATGGAGCGTTCCAATTTCTCATGTAAGCCCCCACAATCAACTTTCACATGGGCATTTGCAAAACATCCGGGGGTTTACATTCTTCGGCAATACGGATTGCAGTACGTGGGGGTAGACAAGTCTTTGGGAGCACACCGAAATTCGGGTCTATGCGGTGCCCTTGTGCTAAGGCCCTGCTACGCGCGGGAGGTAGTAATAATCACTGTTGGGATGACCCCATTTCAAGTTCAACGTGCGCGCCGATTTTGGCTACTCAATGCGTGTTGCAGGTCGTCAGTGCATCTCTGCCAAGCAGAAGCTTGCGAAGCAAGACCGCACTTTCCTGAACCGGATAAACAAAACAGCCTGTGAGCGCACTACTCCATGCTAAGGTTACTTGGCTAGCCCGGTTCATTCTGCGCGGGCTCGCTTCTGTCCCCGGCGCTCGGAAACGGCATTGAGCATCAGATTCATCAGTGTTGCTGCCAAAGCCGGGTTCTCCTTGCAGAGGGCGACTAAGGACAGATGGAAACAGAACAGCTAGCGGGAACAGATTCCCGACTCTTCTCAGAGATTATCGTGTCGAGCTCTCCCCCATTGTTGTACTGATCATGTTTTCAAGCAGCCCATGGCAAGCATTGTTGTGTTTTATTGTATCGCAAATGACGTGGCGCAGCCGTTGGTTCTGGTCCAAAAACAGCTTTGCATGTCCATCTTGTAGAACAAGCTAAGATTCCACTTAACAAATCTCGCTTGCACAACGTCTGTGATTGCAGGGGTCTTGATGCTGCCTTACAATCTGCCCAACTCTGTTTTCCGAATTGGTTGAGCAGCAATAAGCCTGCCAAGATCAAGACGCAGAAGCAAACACACTCAAACATCCATAAATAAGGGACCCCCAATATGAACCCGCAAATACTCTCATCCTCAATATGCCGCCCCTCAATTTGCGCGTAGCAGCACTTAGAAGGTTCAGCCCCAACGGTGACAGAGCAAGGAACAAGACCCAACAAGGATCTACATTGGAGGAGGGAGATCAAGCAATTTTCTTGTCTTGCCCATCTACTCCTGAGCCAGTGGGGCCAGCTTGTCCCTGTGTACTTCAAGGAGCTCGCACTCGTTTGCCTGGACCATCTTCAAGCAGATGGACTCCAACTGCCTCCCAGAACCTGCAGAACTCGAGGGTGAAGGTTCATGATTCGGGGGGCACAAGACTCAAGGATCTTCCAAAGAGCTGAACTACAATTGGAGGTATAAGGGGTTACAACAGAGACCCATTTGACATATTGATGTTCCAGGCTTTGGTCCGATTCCCTAGGCTGCTGTACGTGGGTTGTACCCAAAGGAACCTTCTTCAAGAGGATTCAGGGAGATCCGGTAGTGGACCATTTTGCGAAGCCCTTGAATGGACAACAGCTACCAACGGGCCAGCGTAAAGGAGGAGGCTTCTCAAGGGACCTTTAGAGTTATACACGGATAATGAGGGGTCCCTCTTGATGGTTACATAGTAGTCCATGGTATTGTTCAGTATGTACTTTGTAGCTGTATATGGACTCATGTGCATCATCTTGCCTGACAGATTTTAGGAATTTAGGATTTGTTTCGAGAAGCCCCAACAGAAGTTGCGGGCAGGGGGTGCACGGTCCAGCCTTGAACGTGCCCAAGAAATTCCAACGCATTGTCCCAAGACAAGAGTCTCTCCAGATGTTTTTCCTCAAGCATGGTGTTTAGGGCTGTGGGATTCGATAGTCAGTTTAAGAGGTTTCGGGTTTAGGCCGGCCAGGGTTCATGATTCTAAGATATTCTAGCCGTGGTAGCGTTACACCAGATATACACTGGCTTCGTAAGGAATCCCAGTGAGGATGAGGGGGTGCTTTCCCTCCGAGAAAAAAACGAGTTTGGTCTAACTTGGAACCCAAGTGTAAGTGTTTACCGCCTACCCCGAGAAGAGCAGAGATTCGGCTTGAACCACCAGTTGCGTCAGGCGATACTCGTCGGCAATACAGCGAACTGCGAGAGCTTTCGCTGTGTCCGCATCTGAACTGAAAGTCCCATCGCAGAGAAACTGGAGGATAGCTTGAAGGTTACGATGATTCATGTGTGGGTTCTTGCTGAGATCGACTTCTCCACTCTTTGCTTCCTTCCAAGCATCCCCGGCCAGCATCTCACGAAAATACTCTGAGCGAGCGACCAGGATCCGCTTGTCAAAGTACACAGGTGGACCCTCCGAGAGCCGGAACGTGACTTGGGACATTTCTTCTGTGAAGTCCAGAGGCGGCCACAAGATGGGGGCCAACCGTTCCAACGGAAATATTACCAGAGTCTCGAGACGAACTTCTCCCTGTTCATTCATCCAGCCGGACTGCGGAGAGACAAGTTCTGAAAACGGGACGAATTTTCCCCAAAGCCTTCTGGGATCGGAGCTTGTGAAGGTACCACCCTTGCTTTTGAAACGTGGAACTGTAGAGTCCTGCCTTTTGAGGCGTGTCTTCACTTGCACAGTTATCTCTTGCTTGCTGTGTCCCTCTGGCGCGTGCAAGAGAACACCAGCCCACAAGTGAGTGTGGGGAGGATGCATGCCCTTAGGATAAACGTCCATCTGAATACGAAACATGTGCGCAGGTCCTGCCAGTCTCGATGTCACATGCTGTCCAGGCGTGAAGCGACGCACATTTGGGATGATTAGCTCCACTCGTTCTCGCCTGCCCGGTTTGAAGTCTTTTGGCGGAGGCGCAGCTGCATCGTCAAGCAAATCGCTTTCTGCACCCATGGCAGCGGCTTGAAAGGGCCAGCTCCTGATTAGGAGCAGCTGGGGCTGCACTCTCCTTAGCAGAAATCAACTCCAAACTCCACAGTATCCGAACGTTCAGCATCTACATGGCACAACAGCTGCATTTGACTAATGCATGGGTAGAAAGCACTGTTGCAAGAACGCGTGCTCTAAATCCTAGTGCGTATGCTCAGAGCCTTCACACCATCGCTGACACATTACAGAAGTGAGTTTACAAGTGTTGCTGGATTTGTGCAATACTAAGATTCTGAAGAGCCACTGGCACGAATTGCCTGAAGCAAGAAAGGCTGTAAGCAGAATTTGACGAAGACAAAGAAGTGCTCTGGAAATAGCTTGATGCCGTCACAACAATAGCAATTATAACAGTCAAAACATTTGAAAGAAGAGCGTAGCATCAGCAATAAGAACAAGACACTGATAGTAACGGAATGGCTGATAGGAACGGAAAAACTCTGTGACTTGTCCGAAATAGCCGGGCTTCCCCAGGGTGCCCTCTACCAAGGGCTTCGTAACATTGATCATAGGAACCGTTAATGTTGGGTCCCAATTGCTGTGGGGGGCCTTAGTGGTGCACAATTTGCGGAAATTATTCAGCACCCTCAAAATGATTTGGGGGCCCTTAGTTATGCGAAGTTGCGCGGCCAACAACATTAATTCTGAGAATAATCCAATAGAAACAATTCTAAATGGCTTCTAGAAACCCGTCTGATCTATCACTGAGCCGATCCTGACCCCTCTACTGAATTTGCTTTAAACCTAGGATCCGGATTCGTTTGGATGGGGGCCGCCAATACAGAAATTAGGGACCTATTTTTTTTGGGGGGGGCCTTACAGTAATCAGGACCCCACATTGCACGAATCTTGGTTGGCGGTCGCATTTTGCTGATGCTTGGGATGATTTTAAAGTTTATGCCAGGCATTTCACATCTCCGTCCCTTCTGCATACCATGCTGTGCATCGCCTGCTGAAGCAATGTTGGATCAATCTCGGTGCTGGCCAAGCAAGCCCAAATCCCTTTTCGTGTGGGTGGCTTACTATTCGAGTGTTCGGACTTATGACTAGGAGCCGTGCAGAAGAGGCTCCAGAGCCTTTGAAGGAGGTTCATGCGATGGGCTGATCCTTCCCGGAAGCCTGGGGTTTCTATCATAGCAAGTCCCCCGAAACAATCTAAGGAGGTTCCACCTCCTAGCTACAATACTGAATTCGTAAGCTTACTCCTGACAGCTCATATTGGTGGATGCAATGGCACCCTCTTCCCTCTAAATCTTTGCATGCGGACTCCAAGAGCCATACAGGATCCGGAATGCGTCTGTAAGGCGTCTAAACAAAAAAACCGCAACCCCAAACCCACAACCTCCCGTCACGATCCCTACTCCCTGCCATTCCAATGTATTCCGCTTCGCCACGTAGCCCTACAATCGAAAGCGCGAGATCACAAGAACATGAGCATTCTGTGAAAAACCTGGTAGTCCTACGTAAAACTCCCATGAACAAATCCTGGGAATCATGTAAACGCCACGCATTCCAATGAATTCCCTGCAACTTTGGCCCACACTTTCGCTTTGGGTATACATGCCGTGTTGCAGGCCCATATCTGTATCTCTGAGGCCAAGGACTACACGGCTTCCGACCAAGGCCGCTGAGTGGCTATAGCGCCTTCGGTGAAGATTTTGGGCTTGGGGGGCTGTAGGTGGAATTAAGGGTCCATGGGAGGAAAAGGTTGTCACTTTTTCAAAATATGCAATGTTTTGAGTTTTGCTTTAGATAGCTCACTTAAAGCCACCCCTGAGCCTCCACTCTTTGGGGCTGTGTGCAGGCTTCAGGGTCTATGACTGAAAAGCATTGCTGATGATGGTCACTATACATTCGTCTAATAGCGCTCCAGAGCGAAGTGCAGCTCGGTCCGCCAACATCTGCAAGGAAGAGCCCTTGCAGATGTCTACGGGGAGGTCCACAGCAACTTTGAATTTTAGACCCCAACAAAAGCCTCCAAAATCGAGTTCGATTGGAGTACTGGCATTGCAGCTCTATCCGAGACGAATGCTACATGGATTCTAGCAGGTTTGTAGCGTACATATTTGAGCAGATCCTTCTGAAAGCTTTTGGAGTAGGAGACCTTTTGCAGGGTATCGGGGCCTGACTGGGAAGCAGCATTAGCGCCAGCAAAAAAGGGCTGACTATGACGGCTGGGCCCGGCAGCAGCGTGTCCCCAAAATGTATCCCACAATGCTGGACTTAAGCCAGAGACCCCATGCAATGTTGGGCAGCCAGTGTTTCCAAGCCTGTCTGGAAAGTACCCGGCAGAATATATATTCTTTACTGTGGCTTAGCATGGCTTTTCTGTGCTCATGTGTTGTCTGCTTCCCAAAGCATGGGAGGCTTCCTGCAGACTGGCCCAACAACGAAGGACTGTGCGAGCTCTCCCTTTGTAGGTTGGCCATGGGGTGAGACCAAGTACATACACTGGGCTCACGTCGCTTGCTGTCTCCAGAGATCGACTGGTGTGAGGGCCAAAGGGACCCGACATCTTGCTATCTGGACAGTGAATCACAAGCAAGCAAGCAAGCAGGCGCAACCAGTCAGCGTGATCCTCCCTGGAGCACCCTAAGATGCACAAACGTCTGCCCCAACCATGCAAACATTCTGCATAATAATTGCACATCTGATCCAGCGAGCGCAAGGATGTGAACACGAGCCCTCTCCACATTAGACCGTCGCAGTAAACGTATACATGATGGATCTGGATCAGCCGGAACTTCTAGCCTAGCCGAGCAAGCACGGAATGCTGGCAGGCTCCTTCTTGCAGGACTTCCATATACAACACGCAGAACGAAGTCTTAAAACACTTTGCTAGTCTCGCATCTGCGAAGCTAAGACGGCCGAGGCCGAGGGCTTTCTGTGGATTGCAGTCACTACAGCAATGGATCAACCAGGGGAAGATGCAAACAAAACGCGCTGTGACAAGATACAAAAAAGGACAGCAAGCATAATTTGGCTTCCAGATTCCAGACCTGTTCAACACAATCTTCTCTGAGAATTCCCCTTTGTAGGTCGGACATGACAAGAGACCGAGCACATACACTGAGCTCCTGCAGTTTGCT